TATATATATATTTTGTCGATGGAGCAGTTTCGTGTAAAGTTAGAAGCGTTTAAATTTATTTGACGCGGCGGCACCAACCGAACTTTGCTCGCGGCAGAATTCGTTGAAGCTCATAAAGCAGGCTTTTTAACCGTGTAGGTGTAAGTGAGCGACGTATACGCTTTATACTATATTACTACGTAACTACGAAAATTTCATTGCGGGTCATGAGGTAAAGTGGACGCCTAGCGTCAGCGATATATTTCTTATAAATGTGTTTTAACTCTTCGAGCGTATCACAATTCGTGCTTTTTAGTTATGGAAAATGATTAAGATACATTTATCATCAATATTTACCTATTTTAACAATTAACTCGCGAATAAGATTCGTGATATTTACAAAATACGATAATAGCGAGTCAAATAAAATTATGAGATAGGAAACTCATTTAAATAATTCCATTAGTTACATATTTATTTTTTGTATTAATTTATTAATTTAATAACAAATAAAATGACGTTAAATGTATTGCTAATAGTTAAAGATTTTTTTAGTCGAGTTAGTAGAGAGTTAGAACTTTTCCAAATCTCTTTTATTCTTTTTGACAAATTTAAAATCAAATTATTATTCACCAAGAACTGGTATAATATAATTTTTGAAAACGTTCAGTTGGTAACATACTTTGATAAGAGCTTAATATTGCATTCAGCAATAATATTCGCGCGATTGAAAGCTACAAAACGAGAGACGAACCGTGAAGATCCATAATCTTCGTCGATTCGCACTAATTCTCTCATTGAGTCTACGTAGAAAGCAGAGTGACGGTGAAGGCTTTTCTACGATCTAGTGAGATACAGAATCCGTGTGCAGTAGCAGCAGCAGCAGCAGCAGCAGCAGCAGCAGTAGCACCAGCAGCAACGACGAGACATGAATGTCAACTTGAGTAGTAAATAACATAGCAGCTTTTACCGAGCGCTAAGAGCCCTAACTACTTCAAATAAAATGAAACTTTCATTGGACCATTTTGAGTTGGTCCCGTATTGCTTTCAAATGACAAATCATTCCGTAGACTTGACGAATTTTGAATTTTCACAAATTTACAAATTAATGCTTTAAGTAATGTTTCTATTTGGAAAATTTATTCCAATTAGTTTCGTTATCGTGTATTAATGAGGGAAAAACTAAAACACGAATATTATAATTAAAAATAAAAGAGGGTCTGGATATAACATTCAAGTTGATTTCTAGATAAATACGATTCTGACGTTACGTTAATGAATCGAACGTAACATGAAATTTATTTTACTTAAACACGATTCTTTTTATTTCGTTATTATTTCAAACCAATTTTGTATGATATAATGTTACGTTGGTATTTTAATTAATCGATCAAGAAATCTGAGGTTCGTGCATTATTAGTAATCAAATTTAATATATTTTAATCTTTCTTATCAAATGAATAAATTTCTAATTAACAATTTGAAAAATTGGTTCATTACCACGAACTTGACCGTATGAAAATACGTTTTTCTGTTTTATATTTTACTTAATAACTGAAAAGTAATATTATTTAGATAAAGACTTACCTTGGCACATTAACGTAACGATATGAAGTATGCTGAAAGTCAGGTATCGACTTTTTGGTCTGTCTGCCATTTTCCCAGTCGTTGTTACTCTTTATATCACGTGGTTCACCTGCAACAGTACGTTCGTACGTGCTCTCAGTGTTATGCAAACGTGTTCAAATGCAAATTCGAGACTCGTACACGTACTTCCGTGTACACTCCATCAAGATTCGAAACACCAAACGGAAGACTACGCGATGCTTGAATCGATAGAGTATGTAAGCGACCATTTGTCAGCAGAATGCACTATCATCCTCCCCCATGGGTGGATAAAAGCACGATTTCGATATATATATATATAAAAAAGAGAAAGGAATAAACAAAAATACAAGATACAGAAGAAGAAAAAACAATCGCGGATAAAATCCATTCAAATTTTTACGCGTATAATTTTTCTGCAAAAGTAGAAAAAAGAAAGACAAATCTACTAACCCAAATCCTAATCCAACACTTGCCTATCAAATGAATATAAAGAATATGAAGGAAAGGTTGGAAAAATGTACATAAGTCAAAAATAAATTAATCAATTCTCGTGATTCTTTAAAGTATCATCAGTAATCTTTGATAATCTAAACCAAAAGCCGCAGAATATATATTTCTTATAAAAGAACGAATGTATAGAGCTCTTATAGAAACGTTATAAGAGCAAACGTCAAGTGGGATATCATTTCAAGATATCAAAGTTAAATATGAGTAATCAGAGGAGGGTTAAAATTAGTCGAATAAACTCGTTGACATCTCTGGCCCTTTTTATTATTTCTAACTTTATGTTTCCCCCATTCCTTCCTCTATCTCCCTATCTTGCGTTGGAGAGTGATATAATTAATGACGAAAAACGAATGAAACGTTGAAATAACAAACTATGCATACTATCCAAAGTATTAATACATACAAACATCTTGAATTAGTTCCTTGAAAAAAGATTCTACTGAATTTTGTTAGTGTAAAGGATTGAATTCCATGGAATTTCATGTTATAATAGAGATACCGTGAGAAATGATTAACGCATGGCCGAATCAATGTGATAGACTGACATGTTAATTAACGAAACGCTCGATATTAATCAGATTTACTGGACCGTAATGCAGCTTCGCCACTCGACAAGACGTAGAAGCTATGCGATTGGAGACCCATACAAGTTCCTCCTGGATATTCCTCCTGTACAATCATCTACGATGGCTACCTCTATACCTACTACTACCCCTTACCTACCTACCTACCTACCTACCCTACACTCTCCCTCTTCGACACCCAACCCTCCTTCCTTCTCTCTCTCTCTCTCTGTTTCTCTTGTCTGCGTTGAGTAACATCACGCAGTAACATCCTCATACATTCAATATTCGTATCCACGCAAGAGATTGCACGGTACACGGAGTCTGAGTCCTACATTGAATTAAACTTCAAGATGAAGTTGCTATATTTTTCTCTATTCCCCCTCCCCTTTCTCTCTCTATCCCTCTCTCTCTCTCTCTCTCTCTTACTGCTATACCCTATTTCTCTTTTTTACTTTTTCATCTTTTCTCCCATTACTGGATCGAGATTTATTCTATTCGGTATACACGTTCGTCGTACTTCGATGTATACGGAATCGTAAGTGAAATGTAACAAAAAGAAAAGGGGGAAAAATATAGGAGGAAGGAGGAAAGAAAAAGGAGTAAAATAAGAGAGAGAGAGAGAGAGAGAGAGGGGAGGGACCGGAGTGGGAGAAGGAAGAGAGTTTCTCTGAAATATTAATCCAGCCGACGGTAACGCTGCGGAATTATTAAAAGCTGCGTATATTGTTCATGAATCTTCTCTCTCTCTCTCTCTCTCTCTCTCTCTCTCTTTCTCTTTCTCTTTTTATATATATCTTTATCTCATTCTCTTATTCTTTTTCTCGACTTCTTCTATAAAAAAAAAAAATATCATTTCTACTCTAGAGTAATGTTTATTTTAATGCAACTACGTAAATTTTAATCATTACCTGTGCAAAAAAGAAAAAAAAAAGAAAAAAAAATAAAGAAAAAAAAGAGAAAAAAGAAGGAAAAAAAAAAGAAGAAAAAAAGAAAAGCAAAATGATAATTAATATCCTCGTTTGTAGAATGAAATGTGTGCCGGTAGTTACGGTTCATTATTTCTTGCGAGTTACTTGTGCGCAACGAACGATAATGAAGTTAAAACGCTCCGACATTTTTGCTTTGACTATTGACTAAACATTCCATGAACGCTTAGCGTGAAATTATTAACGAGCATACGAGTTTCTCCACAACCCCCTCCCCCCCTCCCCCCGGAACTCGAAGGAAATCGATAAGCGTGTTTTTTAAAAGCGAGAAACGAGAAAAGCGTGGGTGATATCGAGTAGGAAGTAAAAAAAAAAAGAAGAAGAAAAAAGGGGGTGGCGGGAGGAAGGGGTTTGGGAGGGAATTTACGTTCGCTTAACCTACATTTGATCCAGCTTTTAAGAGGCCATGCTCTCTCTGACGTAGTAGGTACATGCATACATGCGTACGTTCCTTTTTCGTATAGGTATGTATGTGTACACGTTTATTTCTATGTATGTTTGTTTATTTGTATGTATATATATATATATGTACACTTGATATTTCGTAAACGATCGAATTCTGAAGAAGAAAGAACAAAAACATAAAAAGGTAGAGAAAAAGAAATCGGAGAAAAGAGAAAAGAAAATGAGATTGAAATGGAAGGAAAGAAATGTGGATGACTTTGCAAATAACCGAAGTTAATTATTTGCTTTTTTTCTCCTTTCCCCCTTCTTCAGTTCCTTTATATTTTTATTCTTCATTTAATTAAATATATTTCTTTGATGATATTATTGGTTGTTAATTAAAAGAACATGTTTCGCGACGTTGTAATAATTTTTTTTTTTAACGTTTCAACGTTCATGCGCAGTGATGACTTCGAAGAGGTGGGGCAATATTTTCATCTAATAAAATATCAGATGGCAATTATTTAACATTCACAGTATGTAAATAGGTATGTAATGTTTAAAACAATGTATATGTGTTTAAATAATCTGAAACATAAGTAGAGTGCATTAGAGTGTTAATATAATAGGTAATTAATCGAAAGGAACGTGTATTGTTACGTGAAAACACCATGAATATGATCAGAGTACCGTCTTCCTCGAAAGTCACCTTCAAAATGGCATATTATTCTTTATGAAAATATATTTATTGAATGTTGTTTGTATGACTTTCCGAATGTTGCGCATGTGTGCAACGGTAATAATATTCCTAATAAAGAGAATTTAAGATTGTAACGTTTTAATTTCACTAGTTTTTTCATTTTTATGTAATTCTTTTAACAAAGGTATATTTCTTTTAATGTTCCTGCACAGTGATGACTTCAAAGATAAAATTTAATTACAGATACAACTGGAGGTAATAATTAAGTAACAATATTCATGTATAGATATATATATTACAAGAAATTATAAGTTTTAATCTTTAAAAAAATTATATCTCTCATAATTATTACAAGATTTTATCATACGAACGAAAAGACACGGTAATCATTATGCCAATCAAATTAGAATAAATTTTTTTTTTTGATTCTTCGAACAGAAACAAAGAATCTAACTAAGTGAGAATTAGAAAGAGAGAGAGATATATATATATATGAAATGGAGATTCAAATTTACTCGATGAAAACGACATTTGAATATAATCTCATTTTACATACGATCGCTTAATCGAACGACGTAATTTAAGAAGAGGATTTAGTTATAATAGACCATACAATTAATCGTTCAATTATCAAAATACATCTCTATGTCTTTTACTTTTGTTACAATTGATGTAAATCCTTTTCTTGTTTCTTTTTTTTTTAATTAGATTATTCTTGACAATTTACAAAAACAAAATTTTCATATTCTCGAATCAATGTTACAATATAACATAAATGAAATAAAATAAGATTGTTGGATATTATCAGGTCGTCCCAAAAGTTTCTTCTTTATTTTTTTTTTTTTAATAATTTTACGCTAAAAATATTTTTTATGTTGAGTAATATACAGTAAAGAAAAAAGTAATATAGAATAGAATCGATATTATTAAGTAAAATAACATAAAGATTATTACGCATACAATATTGTGCAACTTATCATCAAGAAAAAGGAAGAAATTTTCGGGACGACTTAATATTTATAATTCACATCTCTTTATTTTTTGTTTTTTTTTGTTTTTAAGTAGTCATGGTGTATGAAGACTTTAAAATTACACTTTCGAAATTTCATTTCATCTCATTTCATTTTGTTAGAAAGTAAATTCACACACAGCGCTAGTTAAAATTAGAAAATTAATTTTCACGAAGTATATAAGAGTTGTACTACAAGTTTTGTAACATTTCTAACTTCTTTTTTTTTACCAAACCCCGACACAATACAGATTGGGTTATATAGGATTAAAATATATAGTTCGTAGAAAAAAAAAAATAAAATAAAATAAAAACAAAAAAAGTGTTTGTAGAACAAATACTCGTCCTAGTTTCGATCGAACGAGCGAACGCGAACGATTGCGACCGAAACGATTAATCTACCGAAAAAAAAATAACAAGAAACAAAAAAAAAACAAACAAAAAACTCTTACGCTAAAAATGATCACGATTTGTCAATAATTTTCTTTCGCATTTTACCTGCCACTGTATATATATTTACAAACTAAAATGTTACCTATACTAACTAGTCTCTACGATTAAAACTAACATACGACGACGACATGAAACTCTTTTAACAGCGCTGATTGTTTAACGCAATCAGCGAATTGGTTTGGAGAGAGGATAGGGAAAAAAAAAAAGAAAAAAATATACATAGAGAAAAAGGTGAAAGATAGACAGAAGGAGAGAGAGAGAGAGAGAGAGGGAGAGAGAGGGAGAGAAAAAAAATAGAAGGCTGGTAACGCGATCGAGCACAGCACGCTTTCAGATTTACGAGGCGATTTACAAATTGGCGGTTATTGTCCCACGGCTTGAAAATCAAACTGTCCTGTAAATCAAAAGGTCTGGCAGCGTTCGTTAAACGTCAAGTTTGGCCCCAAAAATCGGCCATGTCCCATCGATATCGTTGAAACCTCC